TGCTGGTCAACTAGCAATCACAATCTAAAAACGTAGCTCTGCCTAGCCTCCAACTTGAAAGATGCTAGGGGTTTGAATGTTATTTCATTTGAAATATAAAAATAAACACCTCAATAAAAATATAATAAAAAGACTTTCACCCAGATCAAATTAACTTTTGCAACTTTATTTTTCATAATTTAATTTTAGCTTATGTGTTCTCTCTGTGTTCTGCATGTTTCGAGTCGTGCAGTAGTGGGTGGATCCTCAGAAAATTTACGATCAGAAATTTATTAAACACTACTAAAAAAATGTATGAAATTTGAGGGATTTCTGCCTTTCCACTGAAAGTCTATTTCCCCCAAAACTATTTTTAAAAATACACAAAAAATCCATAATCATTTTGTTTAATGAAGTTCTTCTGACGAGACTTTGATATATATATATATATAAAAAAAAGATCTTTTATATAAAAAACAGCTTTCATTTTTTTAAACATGCTGACATTGTTTATTTAAACATAAATTTGTGAAGCTTAAAGCATTGTGTGAATAAAAATACTTTCAATGTAGTGGAAGGAATATCACAGATTTCATTATAAGTATGTTCATTTATTTTCTGACTATGTAAGATAAGTCTTATGAGTAAATGAGTAAATGAGCGCAGTATAAACATTTACAATAAAAGTGAACCCATGGCTTCTCCTCTAAATCACTGTTATCATTAATTTTTAACTACCATCTTGTGAAATTGCTGGCATGCTGGTGTCCAAATCAAACTTCATAACTTGGCAACACCAAGTAATGGATGGTAAACTCCAAGCTTCATTCCAATAACCCACCAGCTTTAAAAAAAAAAAAAAAAAACAGTACTAACCAGAAAATTCTGACTTGTAAATTCATACCGGCCTTAAGCCATTGTTGTTTAAAAATGACTAATGAAATCTAAATTGCTTGAAGTATTGACTCCATCTCACGATGCACAAAGCAATTTTTAAACTGCCAATCATGTCTTTTGATTCATGTACTGTATCAGGCACGGCTTGTTCGGTTTGAGTATTCCACACATTTTCAAACCTGACACAATCACTGACATCCATATGGAGCATTGAACATCTGATCTGAAGATCAATACAATGTCTAGAATCTGTTTACTTCTATACCGGGTCTCATCTCTAATGGATTATATATGACATATAGATGGCTCTCTCCTCTGCCTCATGTTTGTAGATCTCCTGTTGTGTCCCTGGCCGTTTCTTTGACCACATGCCATGGACTGTTATGGAGTTGCAATAAAAAAAAACTAGATCTTAGCTTGTGAGGGTAGTATAACCGTCATTGACCATTTTAGATGGCCATGTATTGTGGTCGACCTTTAAACCGCAATCAAAGCTATAATTTTAGGAACACACAATGCAAATTTTGATGTACTAGAAATACCAAAAGAACATCAAACCTTTGCAGTCTGTGAGATTATGAAGGGTTTTTGGTTGAGATTATGAAGGACCTCTCAGGGTTTTATAAATGGAAATTTTAAAGGAATGGCATTTCTTTGAATGATATTTTATCATTACAATTTTCTTTAAATCTTATTTTTTTCTTGAGTCCCTGTAGAAATACATCATCCATCTTTTTTCAAAAATATATATTTTTCATTTTTTACATGATTTTAACACAAAGTTGCCGCTTTCTGATTTCTGATGTTGTGGAAGTCAACAGTGCAAAATTGCAGCAGCTTCCTTGACTACCACTGACACTGACTACCAATGAGTGAGAAAGACGAGCATGTTGTTTGTCAAGCATCAACTTATCATTACTTTAAATTAAATAATGCTTAGTGAGGTTGCTTACTTTTTAATACAAAAAAAATGAAAAAAAGTGCCTTGTAGAATGTACGCTGATGTCTATTGAAGACGTCAATAATAATCTCTAACACACATAATCTTAATGTGTGTTATTCACAACATCTATTCTCAACTCTGTTCCTCTTCTTGTTAAATAACCATTTACTTTTATGTGGTTTAAGAGAAGTTAATGAATTGGCATGTAATAAATCTAGTTCCTCTAAACTCTTCTGCACTAAATGGGGCTGCGGTGGATCATAAATTCTGGAAATATAATAGTGATGCATTTCAAATAACTCACAAAAGGGGGGTCAAATGAAGTATTTACAACTTACATGTGAATGAAGTTAATTTTAATATGGCTAAACAAGTTCCACTCCAACCCAAAAGCACACTTTTGGGACTTATTCTCACTCAAGCACTGTTGTGGGGTGATATGCACGCTCTCATACCTACGCCGGTCATGCACAAACTTTTCCGGGAGAAGCGCCCATGAAATTATTTTTACTCTCTGTCATGTTAAAGAGAGCCAAATTTTAAAAAGTAGTAAACAAAAACTCTGTGTTTCATCCAAATCCTATTTTGAAACTTTACCTATACTTGAGTCTAACTCTGTAATATAATAAATAACTCTGTATACATTAATCAGCACTGGACCATCCATTTTTTCTTACTATTCCCAAAATGTTTTGTTTACTCTGTAAGTACCCAGTTAATAGGTATGATAATTTAGCATAATAGTCAAGTCATTAAAAGCTATAAGTCTTCAACTTTAACTGGGAGTTACTTTAAAATTGAAAACTGACTTTTAACCTTTGTTAAAGAAAAGTTGCAATATAACTTTCATAATAAATGTTAATGTTAAACTCTATGTTTAATAAACAAACTATTTGAGTTATTATGAGTGTGATCTTTCTAAAAATGTTTCTTTGTTTTCTGTGTCAAAGGATTTTTCACAGACATTAAAATGAGCTTTTTATGCTCCATGGCAAACATAAAAATGCTATTTTCCTGTCAGCACAAGCGTTCGGTTGCTTTGGCTCCTGGCGGCCTCCTATCCATCGTGCCACGCCACAGCTGAATGAACCGGATGGTAAATGTAGTAGAAAATGTAATCACAGTTGTGCTGTGTAATTTATTCAAGTCGATTGCAGCTGAAGCCGCTGTTAGCAGAGAGGCCAGCGTGTAGCAGACATGTGGCTACACATTGAAATCTTCGAGGCAGAAGGCATTTGCTGCAAATATGCAATCTTTAAATTACGCCACACTGGTGGGAAGATCGAATGCGCCTTGTGCCCTGAGAAATATAGTATGTGTTTGTTGTTGTCGCCACAGGGATGCATTCTCTGCTTTTCAATGCTACAGTACGTGCTCATGCTATAAGCTGATGCCTATATAGACATTGTGCAGGCAAAAGGGTTTTTGTTCATGTCCATACAGTTTTCATACCTAGGTAAAAGCATTGATGCTTGGATCATACATGTATTTTATGAAATTTTTAGTTTCTGTTCAAACTGTAAGAAAAATGAAAAAAAAAAAAACCTAATGTCATCCACTATTGATTTTCTTGTTCTTGACTTGTGCAGTAAAGAGAGTATGACTCAATCTGCTAATAGGCTGAACGGCTGTCAGACTTATTGACTATAACACTCTTCATGACCCTGACATACACTGTGTTTAGTTCTTGACAGATGATTGTTTGTACTAGCAGGCATCTTCACATGCATTTTCTATGACAGTTATCTATTTCATCAACACTTTACCTTTCCTATCTATCTATCTATCTATCTATCTATCTATCTATCTATCTATCTATCTATCTATCTATCTATCTATCTATCTATCTATCTATCTATCTATCTATCTATCTATCTATCTATCTATCTATCTATCTATCTATCTATCTATCTATCTATCTATCTATCTATCTATATGTCTGTCTGTCTGTCTGTCTGTCTGTCTGTCTGTCTGTCTGTCTGTCTGTCTGTCTGTCTGTCTTGTCTGTCTGTCTGTCTGTCTGTCTGTCTGTCTGTCTGTCTGTCTGTCTGTCTCTCTCTCTCTCTCTCTGTCTGTCTGTCTGTCTGTCTTTCTGTCTGCCTGGCTGCCTGCCTGTACGTCTATCATCCATCCATCCATCCATCCATCCATCCATCCATCCATCCATCCATCCATCCATCCATCCATCCATCCATCCATCCATCCATCCATCCTTACATTCCTTACATCCATCTATCCATCTGTCCATCCATCCGTCCATCCACCCATCCATCCATCCATCCATCCATCCATTCATCCATCCTTACATTCCTTACATCCATCCATTCATCCATCCATCCATCCATCCATCCATCCATCCATCCATCCATCCATCCATCCATCCATCCATCCATCCATCCATCCATCCATCATCCAACTATCCATCCATCCATTCATCCTTACATTCCTTACATCCATCTATCCATCTGTCCATCCATCCCTCCGTCCGTCCATCCATCCATCCATCCATCCATCTATCCATCCATCCATCCTTACATTTCTTACATCCATCTATCCATCTGTCCATCCATCCGTCCATCCACCCATCCATCCATCCATCCATCCATCCATCCATCCATCCATCCATCCATCCTTACATTCCTTACATCCATCTATCCATCTGTCCATCCATCCGTCCACCCATCCATCCATCCATCCATCCATCCATCCATCCATCCATCCATCCATCCAACTATCCATCCATCCATTCATCCTTACATTCCTTACATCCATCTATCCATCTGTCCATCCATCCATCCCTCGTCCGTCCATCCATCCATCCATCCATCCATCCATCCATCCATCCATCCATCCATCCATCCATCCATCCATCCATCCATCCATCCATCCATCCATCCATCCATCCATCCAATTTAATTTAACTATTTTTCTATCATTTTATCTACAATCGTCTACAATGCAGTCTATCATTCAGCTGGTCAATCTATAGCTCTACCGTTATATTGTTTGATCATTCTATTCCTTTCTATATCATTATATATGTCTTTTTATTGTTCTATCCATCTATCTATTCTTTCATTGTTCTTATGTTCTATAATGCTATCTGTTGACAATAACATTCTGCTATTATTTGAGTTCTGAGTTCCTGTGCCTAATGGAATTATATATTTTTCCTCCACAGATTCCAGTACTCATAAATCTCAGTCAAGATGCCGATGTCAACTTGCCAATCAAACCTCTCATATTTGCATTGGCTATGGGAGCATGCCTTGGAGGTCAGTCACATATTTTCTGTATTATAAACGTGTGTAAACATACAAACAAACCTGCCATTATCCAAATCTTGGCTTAAGTGGTTTGATGAACTGGATACTTTAGTACCATTGTAAACTTTCATGCAAATCACAACAAGCCACCACCTAACACTGTTTTATGCTAGTAACTCAGACCTTTGAATTATAAAACAGGTCTCTTTTAATAACATCATGTCACCATTAATAATCTGTAGTTTTTTTCAATGCCACTCACTTCTTCCTCACCCACACTGAAAGCATCACTGAGCACAAATAGATCACGCTACATTTAGGAATGTAGTGTGCTTACAAGGCCATCTGAAAATGCCTCATTGCTTGTTTGGCTCTGAGGACACGGTGAGAAAGATGTGGCAGTGCTGCTGCCTAATCACTGGAGAAATGTTGGCTTTAGTATTGATCCATTGAATGCTAAGGCAGGCGTCTGGTTTTGTTATCATGCTGACATCTTTTAGGACAAAACTTTTTGTATCAACACTATACAAGTTCTATTCATATTGTTTAAATAGAAAAATAGTGTACACAGTGTACTTATTGTGTTCATATAGGGTGGGGGAACTATGATGTCACCTTGTAGGCTAATCCGCTGCTAGCATAAAACTGGTTCCCTCCTGAAAATCCCTATAAGATTTTCCCATAGGCCTTTCGAAGATTGCGAATAATAAGCTCTGTGTTTAAACACTGTTTATTACACTTATACGTTTTGTCCAGCCAGAAAATCCTCACACGAGAATACAACTTTTAGCACTTTTGGATCTTAAATGCAAATGCAAAAACTAAAAAGCTAACGTTAGGCAATAAACAGGCACGCATCTGTGACGTCAGTGCAACCCCATTTTTAGAAATGTGCTCCATGACAGAGATGTAATCTCTTTGTTTATTATATTATAATACCTGCTATATATTATAAACAAGCAAATATGCAAAAACATACAGACCTACATGCCTTTTGGGATGAAAATTCATTCATTTTCTTGTCGGCTTAGTCCCCTTATTAATCTGGGGTCACCACAGCGGAATAAACCAATAACTTATTCAGCATGTTTAACGCAGTGGATGCCCTTCTAGCCGCAACCCATCTCTGGGAAACATCCACAAACACTCATTCACACACACTCATACACTAGGGGCAATTTAGCCTACCCAATTCACCTGTAGCGCATGTCTTTGGACTGTGGGGGAAACCGGAGCACCTGGAGGAAACCCACGCGAACGCAGGGAGAACATGCAAACTCCACACAGAAACGCCAACTGTGCCGAGGATCGACCCAGCGACCTTCTTGCTGTGAGGCAACAGCACTACCTACTGTGCCTCTGCTTCGCCCTGGATCATTTTTATGTGGGAAATACATTATGTTTTGCTTGATGGTTGTTGTAAAAGTTTTAAAACTGTATGTATATATGTGCCTACATATCACAGGACATATTTAAATATGTGTATCGCTCGTGTGCACACAGCTTGCTTACCTTAGTAACAGAAGACAGAAATTAGGCGTGAGGAACAAGTCTATCAAATGCCTGCTAGTTCATCACGGATAGAAAACAACATTCAATAATATTTTTATGTCACGAAGTACAGCAAAATGCAGTACAGACACAAATACAAATACAGACACATCTGCTATACATTTTATGGAGAAGTGTATACCACAGTTACGACAGAGTTAAATGTGTTCAGATGAAGAAAAAACATACGAAAAATCTATTGATCACATTGAAAATAGTATTCACACGTTTGCATTACTGAGAGCAGGAAAGAGAGAGGCTGCACAGGTAAGCAATATCTTCATAATATCGTTTAATTAGAATAAATGATCAACAAATTAATGTCTTGACTGTCTTTACATGTGAAGGCATTATCTACACACAATATGAATTCCCAATTTGAAAAAATACTACAAACTATAAAATACTATTCATGAAAATACCTAAATAACAGACAAATCCAAATGCCCAACACACGAGCTGCGCTCCAGACCAGATCTGCTTGATGACGTATAATGTCTCCGACAACACCTGTAGTCCCATTTAGCAACTTGATAGCGATCATCTTTTTAAAGAAGCATGACCGATTTTAAAAATCAAGATTGTTATGTAACTGATGTGTTTTATATCGTAGAATAAAACGTGAAAGTGTCTTGAGTTTGTGTTTGCCACATACCTTATTTAAGTGATTTTACTAAGTGGGTTTTCCAAACTAATTTCGAGAGGAACACGTGATATGATTGACTGCAGCTGGTCACCCAACCACATTCATTAGTTAGCCAATCAGATCTATCTTTACTCAATATAAGTAGCCTAGCTAGATTTACTCCCTTATCTTCGTTTTCCGAAGAACCCCCCCATCCACCCCTTTCTCCTCCTTTACAAAAGGGGAGCTCAAGAGAACCACCTGATCTCGTACTCCCCTCTCATGCTCTATGGACCTGGCGAGAGCCCTGGGCTCAACTATCTCCGAGCTCAGGGTTCTCTCCCGGGACAGCATGCCAAACCTGCTAACAGTTGTCAAGCAATACCTAAGTGTGAACTCCAAAATTCCATTAAAAAACCCATTGACTTTGGGATGAGGGAACTGGAACTGCTAAAATGCTAACTCGTTTTTGCATACAAATTGATAGTTCCTCCACTCTATTGTGCTGCTGAAGACTTATGGGGCTATTACTTAAGTTGGGGTAGGTTTGGTGGTATGGTTAGGATTAAAGGTGGGTTAAGGTGTAAGAAATGGGTCAATAAAAAATTACCGACATATTAGATACTAATTATAGAAATTTATTACAAATGTAATTACACACACAATTAAATATAAATATATACATACAATGTATGTACATATAACTACTTAATAAATGCCTTTTACCAAATTATTAATTTAAATAAATGTGCTTAGTAATTAATGTGGCTTAAAATAAGTCGAACTGAAAAATGTATCCTTTTTTTAATGTTTAAGTCTTTTAATGTATATTTGATTAAATGAGCAGAAGATTCTTTTAAATAATAAATTTAACTGAGTGTATGAATGCATATTACATAAATTTATAATACATGCATATTGCATACATTCATATTACATACACAGACATTACATTCACACACACAAACACGCATATTCTTTACACACATATAATGCAGATTTTGCCTATCTATCTATCTATCTATCTATCTATCTATCTATCTATCTATCTATCTATCTATCTATCTATCTATCTATCTATCTATCTATCTATCTATCTATCTATCTATCTATCTATCTATCTATCTATCTATCTATCTATCTATCTATCTATCTATCTATCTATCTTTACATCCATCCATCCTTACATCCATCCATCCATCCATCCATCCATCCATCCTTACATTCCTTACATCCATCTATCCATCTGTCCATCCATCCATCCATCCATCCATCCATCCATCCATCCATCCATCCATCCATCCATCCATCCATCCATCCATCCATCCATCCATCCATCCATCCATCCATCCATCCATCCATCCATCCATTAAACCTTTAATATACCTATTGTTCTATCATTCTCCCTCTTTATCATTCCATCGTTTCCTTTGATACCCCAGCACCCATTGATTTTAGTTTATACTTATATAGTATATTGCTTATATTATATACTTACATTACCAAAATCTTTATAAGAGATAAGATACTTTTTCACTCCCTAAATTAGTTTTTTAAAGATTTAAGATTTGCTATTGAAAGCCATTAAAGACATGACAGACCTCCTTAAAATTACATCAAAATAAAGCATTACACATATACAAATAATAGTTAAACATTGATTAGTACATTTAATTAAACTCCATTACTCTGCATATTAAAATCTAAGACAAAATATAGCAACAGTAATGAAGGAATATCAAATGGCAACAATCAAAAACAGATATTTCCCACATACTAAAGACATATGACAGTTTTACAAGTAGGCTGAGATTAAATGTATGCGAATGTGATGAAGCCACTTGGATCAGAGGTATGAAAGAAAATTGAAGAACACATCTAGATGCTCCAGAGTAAATTTTTCTAGACATGTTAGTGATGAAGTGATGACCTCTGTCCTTCATCACAAAGCTATCATGCCTCTGATTTGAGTGGGGACAGAAATCTCTCTCTGTGCCATGCATTACCAAAGCAGGTACTACAAAAGAGAACGCTTGCCAAATCACCTCTGCAGTTTAGTCATTTCATCACCAATACTCTTAACAGAAGTGATTGCACAGTGGAGAACTTTCAATTGCAATCAGCATAACAAAATCTGCTGTGCACATTGCACCGAATCTAATACTAATTTTCATTTATAAAGACCTGTGTTTGTGCAGTGCTATATTTGTAGAGGACATGTAGTGCTATTTAAACATTTACACATTCCCAGGTCTCTTTCTCTCTGTCTCTCTTTCTCTTTTTCTCTTTCTCTCTTAAGGCAGACTTGAGTATACATGGAAGAATTCACTGGGCAAACTTTTTTCTTTTATTAAATATAAATGAATGTCTGTGTTTATTCAGGCTATTGGAGTTATCTAAGTTAGCCATTCATTTTTTCTTTTTCTATTCTCAAAGGAAATGGTACACTGATTGGAGCATCTGCAAACGTGGTGTGTGCTGGGATTGCTGAACAGCACGGCTATGGATTTTCCTTCATGGAGTTCTTCAGGTATTTATATTGGGAACAATTATGTTCTTCAACACCTTTTATTGCAGCATTAAATGCTCTTTTTAGACCAAATGTATCTAAACTCCATTCACGTTTGTGGCTGCTTGAATTTGACAAAAACACACCATTTTACAGTTTTCTCAGTCACTTTGGTGCATTTCTCACAACACTAGTGCATGTCTGCACAACAGTTAATGCATTTCTCAAAACAATTAGTACAAACTGCAAAACCTAGATGATAACCTGCAAAAGCGTGTCACATGCTCAAAATGGATAGTTCATTCCTTAAAAGCAAGTATTCATGTCAATCAAAGTGTCAGTATCATCAAAATGAAAAGTCCTGATACCATTGTTTATGAACAAGATAGTCAAATGGCTTTGTCCTGTTTTCATTATGACAGTTTACTCTGTACATTTTTTCAATGCAAAAAAGTCAGATTTTGGTGACACTTCCTGAAAATGCTCAAGACAGCACTATATACTATTTGCACAGCCATTTGAAAACCACAATAAAGTTAGACATCACCGCATTTAGTGAGGAATCTGAGTACAAGACACTGAATGTTTCATATCTTTACTGCATATGCTCGTTGCAATTCTAATTTATTCACAGCATTGTGCAAAAGAATAAATACACCCTTTTTTAATCATCCAAGTGGATGCTGCACACTGGTGGTGGTGTGGAGAGACCCCCCTCATGATTGTGAAGCGCTTTGGGTGTATGGCCATACACAATAAATGCGCTATATAAATAAACACATTACATTACATTACATTACACATTACATTACAACAAACATAAACTCCCTTCGGGCAGAGCTGTGCACAACTGTCAACAATATTGCAGAACATAATGGAATTGAACCTATAACATACACAGGTCTGTGAATCATTCATCAAATTGTTAAATTTTTAAGAATTTTTTTAGGAAAATAAAGATTGAAATTTTTTTGAATAAAGATTGTGACAACTAATTCAACATTTTTGTATGTAATGACTCAAGTAATGAAATGAGGACTATTAGTTTTATATGGAATGACTATTCAGCATCCACAAGTCTAGTTAATTTTGACTGACATGACATGGGCAAATGATAATGTTATAAACAGCAGAGAGTTGTATGAAAGCAATTGATGCGTGTCCAAAAGCATTCGCAATTTGTTGGAAAGAATGAGAAACTGCTACTTGGATGTGCACAAATGACTAATTGTTTAGAGAAATGCATGTTGTGCAAATGTAAATAGTGTTGTGAGAAATGCACCAAAGTGACTGAGAAAAACTGTAATTCATTTATAATTGACAGTTTTTTTTGTTTTTAATAATCTATGTCACATGAAGTCAGATGTGAAAGTGATTTACAATTTTTTTTGTTATAGGGAATATCATATAGTTAAAAGGATAAACATTAGAAATGTTGGAATATCTAGCCAATTCCATGCCTGTTTAATTACCACAAAAGAGGATTTTCTTCAATGTCAAAAGTATTTGTAATTTATTAGATACAAATGAACGATTTGATGACAGAGCTCTGGGTTACATTACACCATTGCAATACAAGAATTACATTCAGGATGTTAGCATCAAATCTATATTTTCCTGACTCCTGGACAGCCATTCAGCACTAAAAAGTCATTAGCTACTTGGAAAAGAAATATATAAAGAGAGGTGTCTTGGTAAATACTGTACATGCATTATAATATAAATAATGTATTTGTTGCTTTTTTTGATTATCCTAATAGAGGCATTTTTGTAAACTAATTTTTTTTACCAGCAGATTAAAAAAAGGAATCAAAACAAAACAAAAAAATATATAAAGATTTGTCAGAGTCAATCCTATGAAGTCAGATCAGTCTCAAAAATAATAAATGTACAAAATGAAATTCATACATGCACAACATAATTCACCAACAAAATTCAATTTGTAAATTTGTAAACCCAATCGTGAATTAACAAGTGAAAATCATAAATATTTTCATCAAATAAATTGGATTTTTGTATTTACAAATCGAGTTTTGAACTTACGAATTGAATTTGTGTGTTTATGAATCGTGTTTTGAATTCACAATTTGGATTTTTGTAATTTTGAATCGTGTTTTGAACTTCCGAATTGGATTTGTTTATTTTTTAATTGTTTTTTCAATTTGCAAATGGGATTTTTGTGTTTTCAAATCGTGATTTGAATTTATGAATTCGATTTTGTCAATGTGAATTGTGTTGTGGATCTATGAATTTTATTTTGAAAATGTATTATTTTTGAGACTGATCAGGCTCCATACAATCCTGCTTTAATGAGCTCAAGCATTTGAAGTGTCAGACAAGGAAACTTCAGCTGATTATTATTTAATTGTATAAGTATTTATTTATTTATTTATTTATTTTTCTTTTTTATGTGAAATGGGCAATTCTGAACCAAACAAAAAGTAGCAACGAACACCAGTTTTAATGGAATAAAAAAATAATCAACAGCGAGGATTACAAGAGTTCGCTGGTACAATAATCAATCCTCTAGCTTTACGACCAGATGTTTATGGCCTTTCATGTACTCTCAATCTTCAGAGAAAGCTGCTTTTTTCCAACCAGTTTTGTTGGCCAGTGATCGCTTAAGTGACACTTTTAAGGGCTCTGTTTCAGGGCACACTCTGACACTGTGTTCATGAGCAGCTGCTGCAATGTGTTGCTTCCAGCCATGTTTTCCCTTCCCTTCTCTTCACATTACACAACACAACATAAAGGGAAAGTTCACCCTAAAATAAAAACTAGCCAGCTGTTTTTCTTTAGTGGAGTAATAAAGATGATTTTAGTTGTGCTCATTAAGCAATTGCTGCCAATTTAAAACATATGCAGGCTAAACAATTACTTATTAACAACAACAATTAACGGGATAGTTCACCAGATTTATACTGAACATTTTATAGACCAGAACACAACTTATTACCCAGGAATCAGTCATGTTTACATCGCTGACTCCTACTGTCTCATCCATGTTAGCCATCCTTTTAAGTTTTATGAACTACTGTAAAGTGCTTGATCATTGTTTGAAAAAACCCAAAGAACAAAAAAAGGATTAAGTCAAAAAGGCGTTCAAACTGTGCAAGAAATAAGTCAAGAAATTATAAAGAAAAAAAGAGACAAGAAATTATATAGGTTTCACCTAACACATTAAAAACAAAAGTAACAAGGTTTAAAAATGTAAGTTAGGCTCGTAGCCAGGGGGGAGTTCCGAAACAAAGGTCCCAAATTTGTCCCATACAACCCATTGATAAAGGCTCTAAGACCAAGCGGAATCCAGCGGAATCAGTTTTGGCCAATGCTAACAATTAAATTTCATGAATCAAACATCAAGCTGTGCAAGAAAACACATTCTGACATAAGCAAAGTCATCTTTCGCTACTGTACTGTTTTTTAATAGAGAAAACATTTTACAATTAACCTTTATTTTAAACATTGGACCTTATTCTTTAAAGAAAACATTTAATAACAAAGTGAAGCACTTTTAAATGAGAGGCTAGAAACATTGTGAAGCTCTAAATTATTATTATATTATTATGAATAATATTTTTTAATATTCAAATGGCCAAATACTGTCTGAGGAAAGTATTGAAGGTACTGGCCAGTTTGTTATTTGCCTGATATATTACAATAGGCAAGTGCAGGGGTGCGCAAACTTTTTCATATGAAGGGCCAAAAATCTAATATCATTGATAGCCATGGGCCAAAGATAAATTAAAGTCGCCATGGGTAATTTCTTAATTTATTTCCTAATATTTAAACAAAAATAGAAAACATTATTTTGAATCGTATTAACTAATGCAGTATTTTTTTTATTATAATTCAAATAAAACATAAATAATCACATTTATACAGTAACACATTGGAGTTCAGTGCTGAATACACTAGTCAAGCAGAACCTGCTTTTGCCTTGATTTGCTCACCAAAGTCCGTTGGGTGACAGTATGAACATTTTAAACTTTATCTGAATAATTGACACTATTTAAATTGGAACATTTAATTACAGTTAGCCTTTTTTGTAGCTTAACAATAAAACAAACAAATAAAATGTCACATTAAATAAGAAATGACAGTCTCAAATCGATCCCCATCATTCTCCTTCTTCTCAGTAGTCTTCTAGTTTGGGCATCTCTGGGCTATAATTTTTTATTTAAAAGTTTTTTATTCCTAATAAAATATGATGTAATAAATTTGTATTTTAAAATGAAATATTTGTAATATTTCTTTATTCTAAATTTTTAGGAAATATTTTTGACACATCAAAAAGTGTGGTTATGATCCGACATGCTAATTCAGCTAAAACATAGTGCTTATAAGGTCGCTAAAATGCAGTGTTTAAATCTCATAATCAAATTGAAAAAGAGGCGTATAACTGCCTTTTTGAGCCCCTTGTACCTGGGCTGGCTATGGGCCCAACAAGTAGATACAGATATTTGTATACAAATGTTATGAGTAAAAGTAAAAAGTAGTCAGAAAAAAACATTATTTGTTATTCATTACTTCCCATCTGTGTGTAGAGTATATGTGGATAGAGAGAAAAACTATAGCTCTCCATTAAAATGTGTGTATTAGTAACAGTAGTTCTACAGTATCATTGTTGACTTGACAACTACAGTTAGATAGAAGGACAATAGATGAACTTTCTTCTTTATGTGTGTGAGCCAAGTGTTCTGAACACTGTTATTTGCATGTTCCATTTAAAATCAGTGAACATGTCGCATGTTCATCATGTTCCAAAAATATCCCCAAGTATGGCTCTCTTTTAAAGAACTGACAGATCCAGTTTTAGAGAGACTCTTTAGACAGCTTGATTTCAAGCACTCTCTAGCGTATCAACAAATACATCTGAATGTGGAAAAGGAGCTGCACGCTGATTACCTCTCAGTGAGTGGCTTGCGGAGATATTCACCGTCTCTTTTGATTCGGTTCTCCCTGCTTGTTACCACCTGCTCGATGGAAGTGCTTTCCATGCAAATACAGATGCATGCAGC